ATTTTTCATTTTCCTGCAAATTTGCAACTATTTATTCTACTTCAAAAAAAAATATATATATTTTTTAAAATACTTATTGACAACAATTATTATAAGTTAATAAATTTTTCAATTTGTCCTCATTAGTGACCAACTATGACGAACTTTGATGTTTGTCATCCCTCAGTTGTCGACTGTACTGTTCGATAGCTTGCAGCAGTATAGAAAGCAATAAAACCACTATTTCCTTCAGTTTTCTAATTAAAATTCTAAGGAAATTAAACTTCATACTTTAGATTCAATCACTGTTAGTACCTATAAACAAATTCCAGACTTAATTTAGCTTTCGGGTAATTTTTATTGCCCTTTATACAACTATTAAAAAAACCTGTTCAGCCTTTCCCTATGGTGTATCAAACCGAACAGCTCTTCTGCGCCAAATATCTGCCAGAGTATATAACTGGACGATACTAGATAGGATTCATCAGACGTTCAACGTAATTTTGCTGATGGAAAAAAAGGTACTTTTACGAACAAATTCTAAATCATCTTCTCACCGTTAGAGGTGAGTTCCGGTTATAGTGAAAAAGCCCACAGTAAACAATCAATGCTTTCTTGCCCCGTACGATAGTGTTGCTTCTAAACTAAACTTCTATCGCTCAATCTTTTTCATTTTTAAATAATTAATATTTGGAATGCGGTTTTGATAAGAAGAATCATGTTCGGTTGTGATAATATTATTTACTGGCATCAGTTACCCGTACACTATGGCAACATTCTGCTACTTTCCACTCGGTTAGTTATATTTATCCCAACAAGAGCCAGCTTCTAATCAGAAAACTTCTTGTGCCTTTAAAGACTTTGGATGAAACACTAACTAAATGGGCTTTCGTAATTTTGTTCGTTCTAACGTTTCAAGGTTTGAATTCTTCAGCGCCAAATGTTTGTATGTGTGAACGTTCCACTTCAAGGATTACTGATATAAATGTGGGGCTTGTACTTGACGATCTCTCTTGTGACAATTGCGATCACTGAAAGCAAGAAAACCTAAGGTCTTGATTCGACATCGAATTAAACATTACGGAAAACTCTAAAAAGTCCATCAAATTGAGATGCACCACAACGTGCTCACAGACCAAAATAATTTCCTGTTGAGTCGTTCCTCTGATTCCAAAGGATTATATTTTTGGTGCAGATTCTTTAAACCCTACGGTAATTTAAATTTATTACGTCCTTCATCCTTACGTCGGTCTATTTGTAGCCACACTCTTTTACTGGCTTCTATGTAGTCGTATTTTACGCACCATCTACACGTCGTTTCTTCAGTTCTCTGACGAGGAAACAGGCAGGGTTCCAGTTCGACAATGTCTTCATGATTAAATTTTTTTGCTGCTTAAAATCTGAAATTATCCAAGTACAACCAAGATCTTTCAAATGATCCAGTTTCCAGATGTCGGATAAGCGTTTATCGCCCGCTGCAGTTCTATCAGTTCTATTAAGTGACTATTATTGCAAATGGAAGTAAAATTCAGTTATTTTTCAGAAATGCGAGTTTTAAAACGAAAGATGCATTTAAGCAAAACATCATTGGCTAAATGCCAATTTTGTGGTTCAAATTTTTTTAGTCGGTTTCCAATCGTTTTTTGTAGCAGACCTAAGCGTAAAGGAAGGGTAGTGGAAGCGGACGGAAGAAAAACTGCGACTGCCGCATGAGAGGAGGGTCGGGAGGTATATCTGAAGAAGCTGTGGGGAACTGGTGTACTTTACATCATAGATTTGTTGCCTGTATTCAGATTTTTCAAATTTATGCTTTTGTATTTTGAAATTTTTTTTTAAAAAATATTTCTTGGTCTAATAAATATAACGCGTTTTCCGCTTGTTTATTACTGTAAGGTTTCCATGAAATTTTTTGTACAGTTAATCATCATAGAAGAATTTGATTGAATTTAGTGTAACGGATGAAATAAATTAAATTTATTGCGTTAGAACCATACCAGTTTTACTCTTTATTTTTTATGAGTATGCTTGCAGTTTAATTGCTTTTCCTTCTTATATCGTTCTGTTAAATTGAATTGATTTGAATGAAGTGCAAATTGCAGGAATTATTAGTTGTTTCGTCGTTTATCGAGGTTTTATTGGAAAAACTGCCTTCTACTGACGGAAGCATATAATTCTCAACAATGGATGAGCGGAGGTTGACATTATCTATGGAGATCCTGCAGATTTGTCGAAAAGTTCTGTCCAAAGAACTTTCAGTGGATGCGGGTTTTGGACTGCTCCAAACTATGAGTGTAATTTTTAAATCGACGTTATCTCTTTGAATTAACTAGTTGTAGCATTTTTCTAGATGAAAACTGGTCAAAGTTAGTTTCTTTATAGTAATTTTTTTGTTTTCATAGGTTTTTGTTATCGTTTGTTTGAGATGGTAAGAAACCTTTCAAAAAATAATTTGTGAAGAATTTAAGAATTGGTTCTAGTATTTTTCGCATTCTAAATTAAACATAAACAGATTTTCTTAACTCTTTTTCAAAACTATTATTGTTTGGTTCTTGTTCTTGTTTCAGAAATCGAATAGTGTCGTATCTGGTCTAATCGTTGATGCACTTTCGCTTATAGATGCTGAGCTGTCAAACTATAAAGCGAAAGATGAAACGCAGAAAAAATTCATGGAGTTAACAGCTTTAATCTCAAATAAGGTATTCAAATCAGTTTTTTAGTCTTTCTGGTTTTGAAGTTTAATTTACTTTTGTAATTGATTGACTGAATAAATAGATTGTCCCTGAGGAAGTCCTGAGGGTGGAATTATGTGTAATGGGAGCGAGTGATCCAGCTATGCGTTCCCGCATTGTTAAAACGAAAACTAAACTTTTGTAAGTTTTATGCACTTCCGAAAGATTCTATCATTTTGTTCGGTTTTGGGAAGTTGAGGAACGAGTGTAAGGTAATTGGAATTGCGATTTCGTAAGTAATGGGTATTTCTCATACTTTATTCTATGTAAAGACTGCTTTTTTTCAAAGTAAATGAATTCGCTTTTTACGTAGAGATGGTAGTCATTTCCAGTTTTAAACAATTGAAGTTCAACCTCTTCCGAGAAGAAAGCGAGGGTTATGCAAAGCTGCTGACAGAATTGTTGTCAGTGATCCCAGTGACGCCTCAAGTCATCGTTAATCGTATTCATAGGCTTATTGGTTAGTAGTTTGTGTAATGAGTTTAACCACGTTTTCATTAGAATTTGTCTGTTACTTCCCAGTCTTGGAAGAACACCACTACAAAACGATTTTTCAGGTCAATTCAACTTAGATCCAAATCGTGTACTTGATGTTATACTAGAGTGTTTCGAAGTTGCTCCAGAAAGGCGGCGCTTTTTTCTATCTTTATTAACCGAATTTAAAGCTAGCAGTGAAGACTTGTGCAATATTCTTGGTTTTAAGTTTACCTTCTACCAGGTATTATTATAAATGATAAACTAGTGATTGAACCCTGATGATCTCCGGTCGAATTTGTTGCTTTGTGGTTTTTTTAGAAAAATAATTCAACGCCACGGTCATTATACCGTCTGGCAGCAATCATGTGCCATGAAAAATTTATCGATCTTCTGACTCTCTGCAACTTCGTACGTTTGGTTATTGTCTTCATTGAATGGGTTATCATTTACATGGTGTCCCTTGTCCTCAGTATTTCAAACTCTTCGTTACACCTGTCATGATAAAAATTACGTTAGCTTACACCGAAAATGAACGAATTGCTGATGGACCACAAGGAACGTCTAAGTCGGGACTCTCGTAGAGCCAAGAAGGCAGAATCTATATACACTGGGGCGATATCTGTTGAGCCTCGTGCGAACGGTTCTTTTGTTGACGAATCATCTTCAACCCCTGTTGCTGGTGTCTCATTTGCTGCAGTCGCTGCTGCGCAGGATGCTGAAGATGAAAAGCTGCTTGAGAATAGTATATCTGATGTAAGGTTTTTCTTATTTTGGAAGCTATGTACTTGGTTTTAAGTTACTTACGTAACTTCTTATTGGAATATGATTCATCATATGCTTTTAGCTTTTGATTTTACGTTTTTAGGAAATGATACTGACTAAAAATCAGAAGCTGGGATTGACTTATGCTCTGCTAGAAGAAGGTGCCTGGCCTTTTGCGAAGCAACTTTTAGATAGATTTCCTGAATTTTATGCTGTTAACGCTTCGTAAGTGTTTTTGGTGCTATTTTTTAATTGTTATTGGGACCTGTGCTTTCTAAAATGCTCTACTTTTTGTCCGAACAAATGCAATTTGTGGCATAACTGCTTTTTTCAATTTTTTAGGCGGGACATTGCGCTTGCTATTGCTGATATGTTAGAGAGATCGATTGACGATTTTTACCAAGAGTAATTTTAGCTTTTTGATTCTTTTTATTAAATTCTAACTTTGATGAAAGAAATATTTATTGTGCAAAAACGAAGTTTCCTGTGAGTGAAAGGAATAAGTTAATTTTATTATTGTGGTTTCGTCATATTTGTGTCACATAATATCAAGTCTAAACTTCTTCCAGAAAATGTAAAATTGCACTAGAACCTACTTCGTTACCTCCCTCTTTCGCCGATGCTCATTCACTTGAAATAGTTAGTGTTTCATTCTAATTGTAGTATCTTATGCCACGTTGTTATATTTCTTATATCGATGGATTTCAGATTTTAACATTGGGCCGTGATCTTTTCATATCATTTTATTTTTTTTTTCTTTTAAGTACGGGAACGATTTTAACGAAGAAGTTAGTATGCATCGGTTTTTTCACATGGAATTAATAATAGACTTCTAACTTTGTTTAAGGTTGGTAGTTGGTCTGAACTGATTTCTGTAGTCTTACCAGTTTTAACGTATCTTGGTCCTTATGTTGCTCATCGTCCACATGCAGCGACTAAATTGGTGCGCCTGATAACTGTATATTTCGAGGAGAAACAAAAGGACCCTGAACTGACTCAGTCTACTCATACACAGAATGGTTGTTTTCATTCAGTTAGGCGGGACGAGACAGCCCTGCTGCAATGTTTTCACAGCTTTGTTGCCTTCGAACAGAAAAAAGTTTTTAAGATAGCAAGGATTTTGTATGCAATTTAAAAATTTTTATGCATTTCTTTTTACAGTCTCTGACGCCTTAATTGATATTATCGACGAAGTTTTGTTGCCGTCGTTGTCTTTAACGACATTCAATTATGCTTTTTCTGAAGAACTTTGGAATCTTATCAGTCATTTCTCATACATTCTGCGTTACCGTATGTACTCGAGGTGGAAAACAGTTCACACTTTGCGTCATCCAAAAATGAACATAAGAAAGGCTAAGACGTACGGTATGGTACGCTACGTGGTCAAGTCGGTTTTTTTTTATTAAAATTTCTCTTTCTGGCTTTGAGATTCTGATTTAATTAATTATTTTTTTAGGCGCCTTTCTAAAGAATCTGTGAGGATGATGGGAAGGCAACTTGGAAAGCTGTGTCACGCACATCCTGCTGTTGTATTTGATTATTTATTGAACCAAGTTAGCATTCTGGACTTATTCTTCTTTAATTTTGATGCTTTTTTGGCTCACGACTTTGCATGTAGATTGTTTTTACAATTTTAATCAGTTGTATTCATCGATAGATTCAAACCTTCGAGAACCTTATCGAGCCTGTCGTTGAGTCGATCCGGTTTTTGAGCAATTTGGAATTCGATGTACTCTCATTTTGCATTATAGAACATTTGGCAGCACCAGAAAAACAGCAACTAAAGGTTCTTTTTACTTTAATTCTTTTATTACATGACTGGGGCTCACCTTGAATAATTGCTTTGTTTTGTTGATTCTTAATGCTTTTTCGGAACACCATAAAGTCGGCTTATCTTTGTCGTTTGTCTTATTTAATTTAGTCTTCTGATGGTACGTTATCTCCATGGCTGCAGTCACTAGCTACTTTCATTGGCACGGTATTTTTGAAGTATAATATGGAGTTAACTGGTGTTTTACAGTATGTTGCCAACCAGCTGAAGAATGGGAAGAGGTATTGAATTCTGGTTCTTTTTTGAGTTAAAGTAGTGTTAGTATGTTTTATTGGGCTTAAGTTAAAGCAGTAACAATTTCCTTTTGGGTTTTCGTAGCTTAAACACTTGTTTTTGTGATGCTTGATTTTATCTGAATATATTTTTAGTTTCGACCTACTCGTTTTGAGGGAAATAATACAGAATATGTCGGGAATTGAATCTACTACTGATCTGACCTCTGATCAGTTAGAAGCGCTTGCTGGGGGCGAAACCCTTCGCCAAGAAGTTACTTTTTCTTCCCATTTCCCTTACAGCTTGATTATCCTTAGTGGTCACTGAAATCATGTTTGCATTATTATTTTTTACCGGAGCTGAGGGTTACAGGCGGGCTCCTTTTCTCTTATTCGGGCGAACCGGCGTGCCACCACTCGTTTGCGTGAGGCGCTGTTTAAGGAGCATCTTATTGTTGGTTTATCTATCCTAACTGCTCAACAAAGACAGTGCATCGTTTTCGTTGAGTCTAATGACATCCCCTTAAAATTAGCCGGACAGATGCTGGATAAGGTTTTAATAGCTTGTGATTTGCTAAAAATTATTTCCCTTATGCCTGTCTGTAAATCAAAAATTTCAGTGTCAAGAAACACTTGTACAGTTTGGTTCTTTCCTTCGTTCAAATATTCGGAACGAAGAATATTCTAGTAGGATGCCACCTCTTACTGAGCTAATTAGTCGGTTCCATTTACCAACTGATGCTGCATTTTACCTCTCAAGGCCTACGTTTATGCCTCGCGTTTATGTAAGTTACTAGATGCGTATAAATATATCTTCTTAACAGTCGCATAATGCTCACTCAGTTCTCTTAAAAAGTTTGTTTATATTTTAAGACCTGTTTTGATAAAACTCGAAAAGCGATGCGGGAGCCGGATGGTTCTAAAACAAAGTTGGATAACAGCCAAAAGTTTGAACTATTCAAAAAGCGTTTTAATGAAATTTTTGGAGAACTCGAGCAAGCAATTGTTCCATTACTTCCTGAAGTAGCATGGACCGATATCTCTTCAAAGTTAGCCATTTCAAAGTTTTATTTATTGTATAGGTTTTATTATCAAGCTGAAAATTTATTTTGGCGTTAAACTTTCAGAATTTCTGGCTGTAGCTTTTAATTTCTTGTCTCGAATGGTAAGTAATTTTTGCGATGTTTCCGGATTTCTTTTTAGGGTTTTCATGATATTTTGGGGCTTAACGCTTTACGACATATACATACCCAAAGGAGCTTACGAGAATGAGATGTTACGGGTTAAAAAATTGATGGCTGGGTTACAAGATAACATTGAATTGGTAAATTTTACTCGTTGGTAATCGGGCATAACTACTGTTAGAGGAGGGAATATCATATCATAGGGCTTTTTCTTTATTCCTCTATGGACTATTGAATTTATTGCTCGATTCAGAGACTATCACAGTAATCGCGAATAGGGATCACTTTTTGCTTATTTTGGCATTTTTTAAATAAAACTCTTCAGAGTGCTGCCAAAATTAATTTTAGTTGTATTTGAAGTTTGACCAATTCCGGTTTTGAACTATTCATGAATATGGATGGACAACTTTTATAATAAACTGTAGTAGTTGAGAATATTTAAGTTCTACTTTTTTATCACTCCTTACCTCTGTAATGAGAGTTCCCGAATGTATTTAACGACAAACTGATAATTTTTATGCTGATTCGGTTGTCTGATTTTCAGAGCAAAACCAGGCGCGCAAAAGAAGAGGAGCAGCTGAGGACTTTAGAAAAGAAGTTAAGTGACGAGTTAAAGAGGCAGACCGAACATGTTGAGCGTGTGTTGGCTATTTTAAAGTTGGAAAAAGAAAGCCTTTTTTCGGAATGTCACCCTAGTACGTTTGTCGCTGGTTATTTTATCAACTACACATGGCTCCTTCTATGCCAGTGGTACATTATTGAAATTTGGCTAAAAAAACTAAGTCAGAGAACCTTCTGAAGTTTTCGCTTATCACTGGAGGACTATATTTTGCTTGAGGAAGTTCATGGACTGCTGACTTAGATGTATTGAAATAATGAAAAATATCGTATTCTTAATGGAAAATTATAAGTTTTAAGAAGACGTAATTTTATTCAGCTTTAATGAATTTCAAAAGATTTTCGCTACATTTCATTGGACTAATGCCACTTCTATCGAGAAGTGAGCATTTGGCTGTGTCCAAAAGGAGGTTTACCTTACGGGATCCGGAAACACAGAATAGTCTTCTCTAGAAAGTCACAGGTTTTGAAGAAAATGACAAAGTGAAGCTTCAAAATGTTTCATCAACTCTTTTTTTAGCCAGCATTAAGTAGGCGGGTTCTCTAAAATAGTTGACCTTTGATGGCAAGAAATTTCACTGAAAAAATCAAATTATTTTGAACTGCATTAAAAATTACATAAGTATGAAGTGGCTTTAGCTTATTTTTTGTTATTTTTCATTTTTTATTATTTCTTAGTTTGAGTATATCCTGCGGCAGGCGTGTTCAGAGAGTCATGGCCTCTTGAACAAATTTGAGAGTGTTTTTCAAAATTTGATCAGTTAAATTTTTTTACATTTCTTAACCTCCACGTAAATGTAAACGGTTTCTCATAATTCTTTTAATTAAAAAGTCATTTTAAGAGAAGGATCAAAAATATTAATTTTTAAATACTTGATGGTTTTACGATGTACTTGCATCAAGCAGAAATTTTTTTTTCATGATCAACACATCTTAATTCTGTTTTTAACATGGCTCTCTTGGTAAGCTTTTTAGTCCTGGTGACTATGGCGGAAATTTTATTAAGTGCTTGCTTTGCTACTTGGTAACTGTTTTAGCGGTGGTCAGTAATTAATTATTGAAGTTTTTTAAAGGTGTTGCTGTTGTAATTATTGCTAGTGTGTCAGTTTCCCATTCGGAAAATGTTTTTCTTTTAGAGTTACGAGGCATGCAAATGGCACATTTTCTTCAACACTGCATTCTACCTCGAGCTGTTTTTACTGACGTTGATGCTGCATATTGTGCGAAATTTGTGCATCTTTTGCATCAACAGCGTACCGGTTTCTTTCAAACAGTGTTCTTCTTTGATAAGGTCAACTGTTATAAGCGTTTTTACAAGATTTCATTATTTTTTAGTATTTTGTAGCCTTTGTCACCCGCTGATTTGCTTCTCAATTCATTTTTCAACCAAAGTTACTTTTCAGCTGTTCGCAGATTTGGCTGTGGTCTTGGCTGCATTTTCTGAAAATGAAGCCAACTGCTTTGGTAGATTCCTTGCAATGATGCTTGAGGTTGTGCAGAGATGGCATTCTGACAAATCTATTTATGAGAAGGTATTTGCTGTTTAGCTGTTTTTAGCATCTTAACTTGATTCTAGAACGCTCATTTACCAAAGAAACTTTGTGTTCACAGGAATGTCAGCGATACCCAGGCTTCATCACCAGACTTCATATGCCAGGTGAAGTAACTACAAATTCAACTGATGGAATGGAATATGAACCTTATAGGCAAGTTAATTCATATTATTTGGGATATCACATTGTGTTCTAAGTAATTAACCTGCTATTGTTCACATAAGTTTGATGCTGTAAAGGAAGGATAAATAAAAGGTAGTGAATAGTTTTTAACCGACTGCTCAACCCTTTTTCAGAACGCTTTGCCATAAATGGCAGACAAGGATGACGCGATCTTTTCTAGGTATTTTGACGGGTGGAAATTATGTACTTATGAGAAACTGTTTGATGGTCATGATTAAGGTAGTTTTTTGCGCAGCTTATATGGGCAGTGGACGTAAAGGTTTTTTGAATGCATTTCATTTAGAGGAAATACTTCTGTTAAGGTGCTTCAATATTTCCCCCTTATCGAGAGCCACATTTCCAACCTAGAGAAATGCGTTAATATTGTCCGTGACAAAGAAAAGGGGACCCGTGACGACCTTTCGTTAATGGCTGCGTCCTACTTAGGCCATTTAAGGATGCGTAAAACTCGAACGTTTGCTGACCACGAGTTTCACAATGTATTTTTTCTGCTTTTTTTCCACATGTCCACTGTAACTTCCATCTTTCTTTAATTGAATCAAGTGATGCTTTTGCATCTCTTAGTGGGTTTATCGATAATTTAGAGCAACTGGATTTTTCAGAGGATTATTGACCCTACAAAGAAGGCGGTCAGAACAAAGAGTAGCGATGCGAAGAAAGTTGCTGTAAAAAGTGAAGTTCCGCAGGATACGAAGAAGGGAACGAGCAAAACAAATGAAAACACTGTTGCTAGGAAGGCTATGAATTCAACAGCTTCAGCAGCTAGCAAGAACGAGCACGTACCGGTTGATTCTTTAAAAGACTCTCATAAAACATTGGCGAGTAACGAAGACCGAAAGAGAGGAGCAGAACCTGTGGAAACTCCTTCAAAAAAGAAAAATAGTAATAATATAAATTGTTCGTGACGTTATTTCAATGGATTTTTATTGGCTTTTGTTCCTTGTTCTGTACCCTTCACTTTTGTTTTAATTTTATTGAGTTTAGAGCTTTCAAGTGGAGAAAGTAACCAAAAGGTGTCAGAACCTAAGAAAGATGTGGTTTCAAAGGAAGAAATTACCCAAGAAGACGGCGAAGTAGCAAGCTCACCTCATTCTTCCCATCAGCATGAATCTACTCCTCCAAAAAAAGTAATTCGAATGTATTTGTGAGAGATTAAGACAGCTCACTCAAAGTTATATTTGTAGAGTCGCTCTAAAAATGCTGATGATGATTCTGTAAAACGGGAAGGTGCAAGGTCACGACATGAGGAACGGAGGGAGGAAAAAGAGAGGAAGAAGAACGGGAATAATGTAGGTCCCTTACCCCTGCTACTTGAAGAATTTTTAGGGCAGCCGCGTTCTTTTTTTTTTGTAGGCAAAAACCAAGTCTTCCGACGATCATACTAAACTTCGAGAGCGTTCGTGGAAACGTCCTGGTGATCCTGCATTGTTGGAGGGGTAAATGTATCGAACAAAGTTTAAGAATTATTGTCTAACTCAATTTTTGATGCTTTCTTCCTAATGTCCTCTAAGTTTTCAGTAAATTCTGATGACTGAGTAATGTATTTTAGTGAGTCAAGCCAAAAGGTCTTAAGGAAGGACAATGGGAACGCTGAAAAAGAACGAAGTCCAGAGTTCAAAGGTCTGTTCTATTGTAGTTAAAGACCTGTAGATATATTTAAACTTTTAGCTGTAAAAATGTTCTTGGTCTTGGACCTTACAGGTACAAAATCATCTGAAACGGGTTCTTCGTCTCGTTCAAGTTCGAAGCATCGTCGATCTCGTGAACCTCAACGGTAAAGTTTTTGTTTTCATTTGTTTATTGTGACTTCTATGTCCTTTAAGTTTTATGAAAACGTTCTAGCCGTATTGCAGATCCTTTTTCCTCTAAGTCTTCTCTTAAATTGATCACTTAGTTTGAACATTTAGGAAGGAAGCCGCCCGTGAGCGTGACCGTTAAAATTAGACCTGTGATTGTCTGCGTATTTGTACATATCGTCATGAACAGAAAAAGCCATTATTTTCTAGTCGCTTCGGTTGGTGATTGGGATAAGCGAAACCTCCTTCCCATGCCACTTATTTCAAAATTTATAGCAAGTTCTAAATAGCAGAACCTTGAAAAAGTGCTGTATTATTCACTTTATCTCCTTATACTACGGGTCAGTGTTTCGTAAGCAAGTTGCGTTGTTAATTGCTCACAAAAATTTCTAATCTTTTAGTCACATTCTTGTATCAAATTGTTCTGCTGTTGCAATGCGATAAACTTTGGGGAGATGTGTTTAAAAATCTTTTTGTAGAAAGTTATTTTAAATATATATTGCTGAACTGCCGTGTTACATAGAAAGTAATTAGTTTATTTTGAAAATTTTTTCTGCTACGCATCCATTTATTTTCAATTATGTTATTCGCAAAATTTTTTCAGAAAAAACCCCCTCATGTAACACGGCTAATTCAACTACTCAACAATGTTGACAAGTTGTAAATGCTATTGTGTCTGTTCACTGCTAGATAAAAGGTCCCAGTTCGCATATTTTAAACTCTACGTTTTGTTCTTCATTTCTTTTTAAACCTCGGAATAATAAGCTTCTGCCTGTTCTCGTCGTCCTTCAGTGCCTCTTATTAACAGCATTTAAAGAAAATAAGGAAGATGAAAAAGGAGAGGAACGGCCAACGGATTCTAAAGGCTGAAACTGCATTCTTTGCATTTTCCCACTCTGTCCGATTCCCTTTGATAACAATTGATCCACAGATTATGACCTCATCTGACTTCTGTTCGATTGCAACGATTGTTTTGTTTAGGATGTCGTTGTTCAAGGCGTCAAAACTAACTTCACTCCACGGCTGTAAATCTTGAAGTTTTTTGCTGGCAGTGTAAGGTAGGTCCAGGGAAGAAAATAGATAAATTATAATCTGTTACTGTTCTAGCATTAGAACTACAGTAAAAATAGAAATCGCAATGTACCTGGACGCCCATCCCCGTGACATCAGTGTCTACAGTGGCCAACTTCTTTGCCTTTTTCTTTTCAACACTTGAAAGACGAGTGCAGTCTCTCGAATTGTCATCGCTGTAGAAAATATCGTAGTCCTAAATAGTATTTGTGGGCAACGTAAAATGCACCGAAAAGTCTACAATTAAAGATATGTATGTCTAGTTGTACAGATTACCAGTCCATCTACAGAACAGTGATTTTAATAGTGTATAACGTTTAAATAGTTAATGGTTGCAGTAATGAATTTTTCGTACGTAAACCTTCTCTTTTGTCTGCTTTATTTTAATTTTTAATTTCTTAAAGAACACAGTAATTTAATTCTTACAATAATATATGGTTGGCGAATTTGACTCACCGTGTTTTGTTTCATTCCATCCATAACTATGTAAGCCAAAGCGGTTTGGCCCTTCTTCTGAACAATCTGAATGAGACCCTCTCCACCACGATAGCCTCTTAGTCGTGCTTCCACAACTCCACCTTAAAAAAATGATTTCTTGCCAAAAAAAATTCAGCCATTTTTACCATTAATAATTGAGATAATTGAGATTTTTGGTCTATTGGTCGTGTTTACCTTCGATCGGAGGTTTGACGCATAAATTTTCATAAAATCTTACTGGTAGACTTTTTTCATCAGAATAAACAGCCCGTTCACCGCCAACTGCAGTCAGTAAACAATCCTGAAAGCATTTCTTGGTCATAAGATGACAATAAAACAATATCTGTATATAAATAAAATAAAAAACATAAACTTACGCTCTGTTTTGGAGCAAAAATTAGTGATCTACAGACAAAGCCACGTTCTGATCGTTCAGACAGTGAAGCTCGAAGGCAGGCTCGAAGGCAGTCGTCCTTGAATTCAACAGTTCTTTCTGCATCCTCATATTCATTAGGTTTCAAATCCAATTTGTAACCCTTCTTGTATTTGAAGCATGAATTTAAATCAATATGGTCACGTTTAACCCTTATACCTGAAGTGACATCTAGCAGATTGTTGTCATTCAATTTATCAGTTATGCTGTTTAGTGTTTATAAAAGTTGAGCAAAATCAAGAAGTTCATCAAGTGAAGAGGTAACAGTTAACTGTGACTATTGTCGTCGACGAAACTTTTTTTTTTTCGTCTTAAAAAACAGTTAACAGCTAATTTTCATTTAATCACTTTACAACGACATTTAAAAAAGTGCAAATCTGAATGGGTAGTTAAATGAAATAAAGAAAGCCAAAGACTGAACTATAGTTTTGAAAAAAAAAAAAAAAAAAAGGATTAAACAAATAAATAAAAAAATGTCATTTTTAAGTAAACAAATTAAAATTGTTGAAAAAAAGTTTTCCGACAAAGAAAAAAAAAGAACTTTTTGATTATTCAATCAATTTATTTTATTTTCGTTGACAAATGTGCACCGTCAGTTAATCAAATTATTTGTCCTATGAAAAAAATTTTATTAACAATATTATTCGTTGTTGTTAACGATTAGACTGTATTTTATGCATGAAAATATCCAAAACTAAAATTTCGGAAAAAAAAAGTGAAGGAGAAAGAAAAAGAAAAGAGGTTAAAGAGTTGTTGAAAATAAAATTGTTATTAATGGTTGAAAACTATCATTAATACGTCAGCGCTATTGCAAATTAATAGCTAAGCTTTGTCTTGTTTTCCACTAAATTTGCAGTGTCACCAATGGTTCATCAATTTTCAAATTTTTTTTTTTCCCCGTTATTACTGCTATAAACAGTGAAGTGGAATTATTGAGAAGCAAATTGATCTATGGTTTCTCCTTTTTGGATTATCAACAGTTTTTCTTTGTCTTAGTACATTTTTTTCCTCCACTTTTCACTCTCTATTTTGGAAAATAGCAAAACTATAGAGTATAGGTTTCCAAAAAAAAAAAAAAAAAAACCAACAGCTTTGCCAATCCTCCTAGCCTAACCTATATAGCACTTTCCAGCCTCATCTAAAAGTGTAGACTAATTGAGCAGACTAAACTGTTCCACAGTGTTACTTATGGGGAATTTTTTTGGACACCTACAGAAATCCGTATAATCCTTCCCCGTGTCTTTTTTCTTTATACAACACTGTTTAACAGACTAAAAAATATAGAGATACCAAAATATAAAAGTGTTTTTATCTACCTTTTTCTTTCATCGTTTATACGGTACAATACTAAAGTAAAAGAACTATGGATTAGATTTCAAATTCAGGAAATGGTTAAACAAAAAAAAAAACCCAATTTTTTCACTATTGCAGCAGCAGTTCTTTCTTTTTTTTTCGACGATAATCATTCAATTGTCATATCAAAAAAAACCCATTACCTAAACATTATTTGAACTGTTTTAATTGTCTAAAAATTTGGTAACAAAAAAAGAATAGATGTCCCATGAGAGTAGTATAAAATTTAAACATTTTCAATTAACATTTACACCTTCAACAATTCTTCTTTTTTTTTTGTCTTTAATCAACTTTTTCAAAAATTAAATTTTATTTTATCGACTAATCTGTTGTCAATTTTTATTGCATTTTTCTATATTTTAATTATAACTAAATCTTAATTATCCAAAAAAAAAAAAAAAAAAAAAATTAAATGCCTTATTCTTTTGTGTTTTCAATGAATGATAGATAAAATACTAAAAAAATTTTGGTAATTTTACAGATTAATAAAAAAAAAATAAGAATTTGCAATAATGTAAAATAAAATAAATGTTTTATAAAGAATTGTAACTTTAATTTGCATTAAATTAATCTAAAAAAAAAATAAAAAAAAAGATGATCTATTCAAAAATTAGAGAGAGCTTCTAAACAGCTGCAATTGATATGTGAAAGTTGTTGAACCCATTTGTATGATACAGGTTTAATTTCCTTCAATCATCACCATCATCATCACCATCATCATCATCACCATCATCATCATCAGCATCAGCATCAGCAGCAACAACAACAACAGCAGCAGTTATTTCAACGTCCTTTGCCAAACCATAAATTTTTACTGAAAACTGCATCAAAAAAAAAAAATTAATGTATGCCTACGTTTTGCATCTGTTAAAAATACTTTTTATATGACAAATTATTTAACGATGGTAATTTTTTTTTTTTTT